GAGAAAGCTTCTGAAAGGTTGGCAGTATTTTTTTGAGGTACAACTAACTTTGGGGAATCATTTCCTTGGGGGTGAAAATGAATTCTTTTAGCATATTGTTTATCTGCCAGCCTTTTAGAAGCTTTCTCACACCATGCCACCAAGCCTACAAATTGTCTCTATAATGGAGTATTTTTTTGAGGTACAACTGATTTTGGGGAATGATTTCCTTGGGGGTGAAAATGAATTTTTTAGCATATTTTTTATCCGCCAGCGTTTCAGAAGCTTTATCACACCATGCCACCCAGCCTATAAATTGTCTCTATAATAGAGTATTTTTTTGAGGTACAACTGATTTTGGGGAATAATTGCCTTGGGGATGAAAATTAATTTATAAGCATATTTGTTTATCTGCCAGCCTTTCAGAAGCTTTCTCATACCATGCCACCTAGCCTATAAATTTTCTCTATAACAGACTATTTTTTTGAGGTACAACTGATTTTGGGGAATCATTTCGTTGGGGGTGAAAATTAATTTCTTTAGCATATTTTTTTTATCTGCCAGCCTTTCAGAAGCTTTCTCACACCGTGCCACCTAGCCTATAAATTGTCTCTATAATAGAGTATTTTTTTGAGGTGCAACTGATTTTAGAGAATAATTTCCTTGGGGGAAAAAGATTTTACAAAAATATTTTTTTATCTGCCAGCGTTTCAGAAGCTTTATCACACCATGCCACCCAGCCTATAAATTGTCTCTATAATAGAGTATTTTTTTGAGGTGCAACTGATTTTGGGGAATAATTGCCTTGGGGATGAAAATTAATTTATAAGCATATTTGTTTATCTGCCAGCCTTTCAGAAGCTTTCTCATACCATGCCACCTAGCCTATAAATTTTCTCTATAACAGACTATTTTTTTGAGGTACAACTGGTTTTGGGGAATTATTTCCTTGGCGGTAAATATGAATTTTTTAGCATATTTTTTTATCTGCCAGCCTTTCAGAAGCTTTCTCACACCATGCCACCTAGTCTATAAATTGTCTCTATAATAGAGTATTTTTTTGAGGTGCAACTGATTTTAGAGAATAATTTCCTTGGGGGGAAAAAGATTTTACAAAAATATTTTTTATCTGCCAGCCTTTCAGAAGCTTTCTCACACCATGCCACCTGCCTATAAATTGTCTCTATAATAGAGTATTTTTTTGAGGTACAACTGATTTTGGGGATCATTTCCTTGGGGGTGAAAATGAATTTATGAACATATTTTTTTATCTGCCAGCCTTTCAGACGCTTTCTCAGACCAGCCACCTAGCCCATGAATTGTCTCTGTAATAAGAGTATTTTTTTGAGATATAAATCTTTTTGGGGCTGAAAATGAAGTTTTATTTATATTTTTTCATCTACCACCCCTTTAGAGATTTTCTCAGTATATGCTATTTACCTCATTAATTACTTTCAATACCATATATACAGTAATCGGTAAGTGAAAATTCGAAGAAGCTTTTGGGTTAACTCTTGTTAGTGCGAATTATTTAATTACGCTGGAAAATGATTCTTCCTATAGGGGTGCTTATTCTCGTGCATATATATTTATTGTTGCGAGCTGTTAGCCGTATCCTTCACAATCACAGTCTGGTCGAGGATGTCGACGCCACTGGTCATTCGGGTATCTTCGGCATACTGTCCGCTAAATTTTGTCTGCCAACTTCACACCGATTAAGGTCGCCGCAACATCGTGGTGATGCGTCATCAATTGAAACAGACATGGCCTTTAAGACAGCACAATCCAGAGCGCCCTGCTGTTCGAGTGCCACCTATGCAAAATTTAAGATTAATCGGACATAATGATATTTAACCTCCGTTATTACTGAACATTAGAACTTTGGTGGTTTCCTAACCGGTCATGTTCATACGTACAGTACTGTTCCGTAGTTTTCACCAGCTAGGTGGAATTTGCTATCACAAGCAAAATGTAACGCTAGTCTACCATAGATGTATCTAATTTCTATGTCGTTAATAAAAAATAGTACTTCAGCTGTTTCGTAACCTGTCATGTGCATATTGTTGACTTGTTCGATGGCTATTCCAAGCCAGATGGAACTTGTTATCACAAGCAAAATGTAACGCTAGCCTCACATAGACAAAACCTAATCTCTATATGTTATTAAATCAACAAAAAATGATAGTTTAGTGGTTTCCTAAAGTGTTATGTGCATTCTGACAAAGATATTCCTAGGTTATCACAAACCAGATGAAATTTGTTGTCACAGGCAAAATGCAATGCTAACCTTGCGAGGTTATGCGTAAGGTGCATATTCTTTATCGGGCGATAGGAAAAAGATATACATTGGCGGTTTTCTAACCTGACATGATCATAATTACACACCTGTTCCATGTTTATCACAAACCACGTGGAATTTGCTATCACAAGCAAAATGTATGCTAGTCTCGCATAGATGTACCTAGTCTCTGTCGTTCATTAATGAAAAATGGTACTTCGGCCTCTTCCAAACTTCTGATGTGCGTCCTTACAATATTGTTCCATCCTTTTCACAAATCAGATGGAATTTGCGATCTCAAACAAAATGTAACGCTAGTCTCGCATAGATGGACCTGATCTCTATGTGTTATTAATGAAAAATGGTACTTCGCCGGTTTCCTTAATCTGTCTGGTGCAATCTTATTATGCTGTTCCAAGGTTATCACAAACCAGATGGAATTTGCCATCACAGCAAAATGTAACGCTAACTTGATACTTGAGATACCTAATCTCTATCTGGTAATTAGGAAAAAATATATCTTAACGACTTCCTAACCTGCCATGTTCAAACTTACAGTCCTGTTCCATGGTTATCACAAACCAGATGAAATTTGCTAAGACACGCAATTGAGATTGTTGACCATACCTTGTGGCTACATTGGGGTAGGGGGAACGGGCGCGGTGCCACTTTCGTTCGCTGCGTGTGCGCTTTGAAATCGTAGGGTTTGGTAGGTACAACTAACGAGGGTACTACGATATGCATTCTAAAGGACGAGGACGGAACATAATGCCTTTTGAACGAACCTTGTATATTGATCAATAAGCTAGTAGTGAGGAAGATAGGTGTTTTGGGATAAACAATTAGAAATTCTCAAAAACTACTTGACCAATCGACTCCAATGTTGTTGTGGTTATTAAGAAGTATGAAGTCTATGGCTTTGAAGAATCTCAAGTAGCTGCGTGAAATTATCGTCGCAGTAGAACAAGTGCCAAAACCTGCATTTTGCGGTTTTCAGACATAACTTTTTTACTGTTAGTCAGGTAATTTTAAGTGTGGTCTAATTTTTTGGGTCTCAAAGGTACCTAACAATCTTATTTGAAGAGTTTATTTGTTTCTGCCAACACTTTCGACTGAATCCAAGAAAACGGGTTTTCTCATTCTTTGTTGTCTAATAAAAAGTTTTCCACAAATGCGTCCAAGTTTTAAATACTCCCTTGAACCACTTGCATCAATAAAACGAGACTTTGCAATTATTTCGCAAATCAGGAGTATTTTCACCAAATATGATTAGACTATAATAACATCCGATTGGATGATTACTGTAAGAGGAACTTTAAATTCTAATTTGTTAAGGTATGTAAATGTTATACAAAATTTGCTGGGTGAACTTTTTTAAAGTATCATTTCCTCCTGAGCATAGCGTCCCGTCAAGTGTACCCGCTCTTGAACAAACATAGAGTCCGCCAAGTACCAATAGGCACAGGAGCGAATAAATTGGCATCATCAGTGGCAAAGTTGCACGTTTTCCGATGAAACAAGCTTCAACCTATACCACTCTGATTGTAGGGTCCTTATTTGAAGTCAAGCTAGGGAACACAGTATGATGAAGGAAATATGGCTCCACAAGAGGCGTTTGGTGGAGGTGGCATTACTGTTTGGACTGGGGTTGTGCACAATGGCAAAACCAAACTTTTGATTTTAAACAGAACAGTCAGTGCTGTAGTTCATCGGGATCGATCGATGATAACGCCAGGCACACAGAGCTGGCATGGCTATAAACTGTTTGGCAGAAAATAATGTTAGATTAATGTCTCTGAAATAAAAGCCTGCAGAACTAAACATGATTAAGCATGTGTGGCCTCAACTAAAATTTTTAGTGCAGTCAAGACAAAATGCTCCTCAAACAATGAAAGAGCTATCTGACGCCATTCAGGAAGAGTGGGAAAAATAACTATAGCTGTTTTGTAAAAAGTTCGTTTTTGTCATAAATAAATAATTTCGGTATTTAACTGGCCTTCAAATTTTTGTTTTCTAAAATGTTACATATTTTTAGAATCAATAAATTCTTTGATGTTTAAAAATTTCGAGCAGTCTAAGGAAAACATCTCCCATGAAGATAAAGATACAAAATTCCAAATTAAAAATTTATGTCAGTGTTGGCCAGCATCATAGCATTTTGAAAAATAATTTTTTTAAACTATTAGCACTTTTTACCAACTAAAGTATTGCTTTTGGTGTTAAGCCACTGGACTACACCCCTATATTAAGAGTAGTAACTTGGATTTGTTCATTAAAAGCTGTTAAACTGCAAAGTAAAATTCATAAATTGCATTTGAATTACATAATGGCAAAGTGACAAATTTTTACTGCACGCCACTGGAGGCAATAACCTTCATGTAACACTTCTTCAAAATTCGATAATTTGAGTTGCTTATAGCGAACTTTTGAAAAATTTGAGAAATCACTTTTTTAGGATAGTCCAAAGAGCAAAAAGATAAAAAAATTTCCAACACCAAAAACTGAGTTTCTGATATAGGCAATCTTTGCTAAAAAATCCTGACTTCTTTTGCACACTCTGTATAAGTGGATAAATAAAAGAAATATACCAGTCTAACCCTGTATGTGTCCTCAAAGATTTGGTCAAGAACCTTCCAAATACTCCATATCTCTATCTGTTCCGACAATATCGAGATTTGAATTTGGGTAAAATTTTCCATATTGTGAAGCAACTCTCCACCAGTTTACGATAAGAGGGTTTTACCTAATTGTCTCTGCCTATCCAACGTTCTCCCATTAATCATACCACAATTGTATACTCTGTCTCTGTGTATTGAATGCACTCTATTCACATATGCTCCACCTTCAATTTCTTGTGGAACTGTACTAAAATTTCTAACCTCCATTCCAGTATAATCTTCTTGATCTCCAAGTGAATGTCCAGGACTATTCAGGTTTCTGCGTTGACAGGGACGATAGTTTTCATCAGGATTTTTATAGTCAAAGCTCCAGACTGGTGGTCTGTATCTGAAATAATTCCTGGATAAATATGAATAACATACTAACTTTTTATTGGAATACCTAGACAGCACGTAATAACTTGAACTAAAATCAAAATGAGAAAATGTATATTTAATAACAAATCGATGTGCTAATATTAACAAAGGTGTAAACAAATTAAAGTATAAAGCAATGGGATTTGATATCAGTTGTAAAATGTATAGATAAGATATAAACATGATAACGTTTTACCTATGAATCCGATAAGCTTAGATCTGTAAGGAATATATTGATGCCTTAGTTTTTTTCAGAAAAAGAAATAAGTTGAATAAATTATACCTTGTTTCACGAGTATCCATCACGCTTTGACGTCTACTGAGGTGAACAGCTGATCGTTGGCAATAATGAATCGGGTATAAATCTAGTAAATCTTAAACCGCTCCCACGTGATGTGACGAATGCCTTACAAGGTTGGACACATGATCATCCGCCACATCGTGTGGGAGAGCGCTGACGGATTGCATGTGTCCAACGTTCGCCACATGGCACGTTCGGGCTCTTGTGAATAAATTTGACCCGCGTCAAATGACGTTACAACGTTGGAAGCACGGTTCGTTACGCTCCCACACGAGATGTCTGTCATTTGTTTGATGGTTTCAAGTTAGAACCAGCAGTGGCGAAAAATATTATTTACTTGTTTGCTCTGATGGTGGTGAAGTAGTGGTATGTGGGAAGTATTTTGATTTGAATACTTACCATAATAATGTACGATCCGTAACTAACTCTTGTCGAAAAGTACTTAAATTAGTATACATACAAAATATAGGCTGCCATAACAACACCTTTTTCATATTACTAATATTTTTTACGTTTCGCAAGTGAGTTTTTAGGCTGGCCTAATGATATGTATTTTAGTAAATTATAAATTTTCAAGTGCTTACAGTTGTTCCATTATAATGTCCTGTTGGAATGCAAGGCTAGTTGAGAAATATGTTGACTTGCATTCCATAACTAAAGAAAAGTATTAAATAAATGCAACTCTGAAAGTACTATAAGAATTTTGATGAAATTTCAACCCTCGGTTTCTTCTATGAAAATGACGTAAAAGCTTTGCAGCTTTTGAAAATCGGTACAGTGGCGGGGGAGTTATCATCGAAAAACAAACAAAAAAACGGCCAAACTTCGTTCTTCGTCATTTCTGAGGCTTCTGACAGACTTGAGTTTTGGTCGCTGAAGACAGATCTGAAATTATTTTTGTTTCATCGTTCCTTTTATATAATTTTTCCTTCGGTTGCAAAGGTTCAAGCGCGACACTAACACCACCATAGGTCGAACATCCGAGACTAAAAAGTTCATCCCATCGTGTAGGAGACACACGTGCCCACCATGCTAATGGCCATAAGAGTCAGTATGGCGTGACATGTGAAGAACAGCAAGATCTGTTTACTACTTCAACAGAGTATGCCCTGGCACACTGTGTGGCTCAAGACTTGCAAATGTTGAGAGGTATAGCAAAGGTCTTTCTCAGGAAGTCTGAAAAAGTGCACGGGCTACGACAATCTAACCCGGAAGTCGGAGAAGTACTCTAGATAACTGAAGAGGGTGCTAACCGAAATATCTTCCATCTGGTTACCAAGAAAGCTTCGTATCAGAAACCGAATTATGAGGATGTCTGGAAGTGTTGCTTGCCGAGGACCTGAGAAAACTGGCAATACCTAAGCTGGCATGTGCACTGGACAACCTAGACTTGAGAATAATCCGAAGCATGCTTGAGGTAGTCTTCCGGTATACAGGCATTCGATTTCTGGTACGTTGTCATAGTCCTAGACGGCTACCTCATGGAAAGAGTGTGGATTGTTACTTCTTCAAGACCTCCCACTGCAAGAAAGGGCAGTCGTGCCAATATCGACATCCACCACCAGGAAGATGATTTCGGGACGGAATGATTTCAGGGAGGGGGGGAGGGGGTACTGTATCAAGGATGAATAGTACTGTTAGCGCCATCTGATGGGGACCGCGCCAGACTCTCCTACTCGCCAGAGCTTCATGTCCGATCTCTGTTGGGGACTGTGCCAGAGACTTTCCTTCGGTGTTGGCGACATCTGTTGAGGACCATGCAGGGACTTTTCTTCGAGATCGACGCAAACTGACCTCGAAGATTCTAGAATGCCGCGATGTGGCTCACTGGAACCATCTCGAATCAACCAGTACCTGTGATGCGGACTATATAGGTCGACGGCCGGGAGAGATAATAATTTGTGAATAAGGAGTCAGACATAAATAGTGGTGTACATAAATGTTCTATCTTGTCAAGTTAAATAAATTAGTGCATTTCATTTTTTGGAATCCAGTATTTTAATCCACACTCAAAAGAATCCAGAAAAATGCTACATTATAATGTTACGCCTATTTTCCGACAATGCTTGTATAAAAGTTCTGGATCTTGCTGGTTCTCAGAACTGAGAATTCAGTCTAAATTTAGCGATTTGATACAATTCAGTATTGTCTCTATTAGAACTTGTACATTCTAGTATGAGGTGCTGAGATGTTCTTATATTTCCGCAACTGCATCGTGGATCATCTCCGTATCCAATTCTTGATTTATGGTGGAGGTTGACCTTATTCTACTCACGATTCTAACGTAAGGACCATGGGTAATTCCTTGACACCAAGGTCTGCTTCGAAGGGTCTCTTGTATATGTTTCAGGTTACTTCCTGTTGGACTGCTTTGGTGACGGTTATTCATTTATTCTTTAGTCGTTGTCAGATTAAAAAATGTACGCCAGTAAAAGGAATTTTCATGCCCGGAACGTAATCGCCTCTAGTTGTAGCTCTTTTTGCAAAATTGTCTACTATCTCGTTTTCTTTTATACCTGAGTGGCCTTTGATCCAGACTATGTTTATAGTTTTGTCGATTCTATTCAGCTCCTGAATGCAGGTGATGATATTCGACATTACATGACTAAGATCTGCAGTGGGGTGACAATTTTCCCATTTTGTTGCAGCACTTCTACAGTCGGTAAAAATGACAAAATTGTTATTTCTTTGGAATTGAAAACAGTATTAAATAGCTTGATTGATCATGAAGAGTTCTGCTGTGTAAGTATAGGGAACATTCAGGTGGTAACTTGAATTCTTGGTGATAGGAATTGCTGCTGAGATAAAATGAACATGCCGTTGAATCTTCACCATCCGTGAAGATATATTTCCATCCACTCCATCGTGCCGGAATTTGTGAGGTGTTGATAAATCTAGTTCGGAATATTTCGTATAGAGAACTTCGGGTAGAGAGTTCTATGCAGAATATTCAGGTATGTAACATGGATTTATTTGACTAGAGTTTACCGTCTGGATGGTAGGAAGAAGCCACTTATAACTTTCTACGATCAGAGGAACCCCTTTGTGATACCAGTACTTCGTTGTTAATCCATGAATAGACAATTTGTGGATCTCACTAATGAATCCCTTCATTATTTTTATTATTATTATTATTATTACTATTATTATTATTATTATTATTATTATAATTATTATTATTATTATTATCATTATCATTATCATTATCATTATCATTATCATTATCATTATCATTATCATTATCATTATCATTATCATTATCATTATCATTATAATTATCGTTATCGTTATCGTTATCACTGTCACTGTCACTGTCACTGTCACCGTCACCGTCACCGTCACCGTCACCGTCACCGTCACCGTCACCGTCACCGTCACCGTTACCGTCACCGTCACCGCAACCGTCACCGCCACCGCCACCGTCACCGTCACCGCCACCGCCACCGTCACCGTCACCGTCCCTGTCCCTGTCCCTGTCACTGCCACTGTCACTGTCACTGTCACTATCACTATCACTATCATTATTATGGTCATCGTCATCGTGTAACATTCCTCAGGTGTTCCTGGGGAGACCCTTTATCATCAAGGGTAAGGTAACGGCTGAGACAATAATACCACGATTAAGTTGTGAGACACTGTATTCACTGAACCCCTAAAGATATAAACGTATTGGAAATAGGGAATCTTAATGCCAATATATAGAATTAATTAAACTTAACAATATGTAGCCGCCTTCTGGCGCGCGCAACCCGCTAACCCTCTTGCTCGCACTCCTTCGTCAGTCCCCCCTCTTTCACCATCTTGTTCCGCGGGCAACGTCGACCGCGCACTGTTGCCGCTACCACCTATTTATCCGCAACTTCACCACTAACTTAAACCTAGCCTGTCACGTCACCCCCCTTTCGAATGGATAATTTTTCAAAAGGTACATTTGAAACTTATAGTCTAACAGGCAACACCTTATAGGGTTTCAAGTTACACACATTATGGGAACCTAGGTTCACACCAGTGACATCCTCAATGAGTTCCTAGGAACTGTGACCCTTCACATTTATCGAAAAATGACTTGAGAACCTCTCATATTCAACCGACTCATAACATGCACTACCTTAGGATTACATTAATTATCCGCAGTGGTACCAATTCATCATTATTTACTTTTGTTTTATCATATACTGGTTCGCAGACCCTAAGCACGGGGGCACCCTCCTGGGACACACAGTCCTTGGACACACAGTCCTCCACCTAGGCAATTTTAAGCACACAGCAGCCTATGTGATCAACATAGTTTTAAGCACACATAACCCTATGTGATATCCAGGCGTATAGACAGATATGCTGAGTTTAACGATTGTTACTAAAAAGATAGTCCAGGAACCGGGATATCACGTTAGCCAACGGCCGTTGTGTCAATACCCCAAAGCTCCGACGTTACCCCTGATCAGAGATAACCGAGCAAGATGACCATCATCAAAGTAACAATCCCTTCACACATCCTGCCATGGGATACATTCAGATGCCAGCCATTACCAAGAGAAGATGGTTAAGCGGTCATTCAGACCTAGGACGCCACTTCGGCCAAAGGCCACCGTGTCAACATCCCAAGCGCTCCGACGTTTCGCCTGATAGAGGAAACCCAGCAGTAATTAACATAACCACCTAAATCCAGCGGTCGTGTACCGAAAGTCCCATAACAAACCCCAGAGACTGGAAGCATCACCCCTGTATGAGCCACCTAATTTCTCTATCATTATCCGCAATTATTGAGTCCGTAAGCCAATGATAAATATGTATATATGATCCAAGCATCTCTATAAATATGGATATATGCTCAAAGCATCTTTATAAATGTGGATATATGATCAGAGCCTCGTTATAATTATGGATATATAATCAAAGCATCTTTGTAAATATGAATATACTCAAAGTATGTTTATAACTAGAGCTATAAGATCAAAGCTTCTACATAAATATGGCTTACGACATTCATGATAATGAATATGTTATAGTTATCAATCCATGCAGTACAGCAGAATAAAGTAAATACTCAGTAATTGCTCCCTTTCAGGTTA